ACTGGAGAAAAGCTGTACGATTTAGAGTGCGCTGACGTTATCGTCTGTCTGTTCGAATGTATGAAGAACGCGCAAAGCGCACTTGATAGACTAACAAATGCAAGTGCTTCGCACCTTCGAATTGCATAGGCATGCTACAAGACTGGGTGTCGCTTGATCGCTTGGAAACGAAATGGTCAGGAATTAGTTATGGTGGGTTGCTCTTGGTGCTTAGCTACTTAGAGTTAATACGTTTCGACCACATTTACTCACTAAATTCCCAAACTAATTCATGTAAATAGATCATAGCTGTGAGTACCCCATATAACGCACTCAAGAGGTGTGGGGCACTGTTAACGCTATTCCAGATAGGTCATAAAAAACATTAATCGCATTCTAGGAATACGATGTATGTGATGAATAAATGTCAGCATAGCGTCATGAACGAAAGCTACAAGATACGTATTTCCAACTTCACTCACTCATTTCTCAACAATGGCTTTATTCAGTTCATTCTTTGTATGCAAAGTTTTGTCTTTCGTATACATGCTTTGCCATGATTTCTTAAGCATGTTGTACCGGACTGTCGTCCAGTGGTTGAGTGACTCGTAGATACGAACCCCAAGTCTGATTCCAGATAACGAGAAGTCGGTAATCTACGTGTACTATGAGCAGACAAATATGTACAAAACCAAACACCATACCTCAAATTGTGGGCCAATCCGGTCTCCATGGTAAAAGAACGAAATACAATGCAGGTCAAGGCGCAGAACAAAGCACCTGCGGAGCAGTCACCAAAAGGAATGCAAACTCGGCTTAGAAAAGGGATAGAAACACCAATCGCGAGTGCTCGATAAAGAAGCGCAGCCATTGGTCAATGCAAGGCACACAAGCGGTTCACGGGATCCTATAGAACAAAGCAGTCCGCTAAGCAAGTGAAGCGTATGATCGAATATGAAGGTCAACATAAAGAGGATGGGATGACAATGTACTAGAACGAAAACGTGGGTGGGGGAACGGATCCGGGTAGTTCGTATGTAATGATGTGGGGCATCATGGCAAGCGTGGGACAGAGAGTGTTCAAGGGCGGTAACGGTAGAGGACACACAAATGAGAGGGACCAGGATCGCTTAGAGGCGGTATGAGAACAATAACAACAAAGTACAAAGTATGACGTCGGACCAAATCGTGGCATGATGATGGGCAATGGTCAAAGGTCATCTGTATGATGGGTCACATGAGTGCACAGTTAATTGAACCGAACCGGAGCAAAATCTGTGGCGTGATTAATTTTTCCAATCAGGTCGATACACATGTTCTACTGTATTTAACTCAAGACTAAGGGTAGTCAGTTCTGCACCCAAATTGTTTTGTATGACAAAGAGGTTTTCATGAATGGGCCTATTATGTCGTTGAAAAATTCAATCCTTCATTCTCTTCTCTTAAAAAATGGGAAGATGGTTGATGAATGCGCTGACGTAAGTTTTCCCGTCCGCACCAATGGCTCCTCATACTGTAACCTCCTTTGGCACTTCACGCGTTGAACATTCACGCTAGTATTGTCCCAAGCCACCTGGACTGCTCAAATTGAGAAGTTCAACTTCGACGGGCACTCGGCATCTATCCCCCCCTCCATTTTCGACGGGGAAAAAAGGGAAGGGGCTAATTTTTCAACAGGACAATGCACCCATTCAAGTCGTCTGCTTCATAAAAGCTTGGTTGCTCTGCACAAAGCAATCGACCGCTCGACTAACCATCTCTCGCTGTTTTGAATTAAATACAATAGAGAATGCTTAGGAAATCACAACAAGGAGTCTATACGACAAACGGATCTTTCCTTGCAAACAATGAATTGAATAAAACCATTTTTAGGAATGGATGAATTTAAGATTAAGTATCCTGCAATCTTTGTATGCCAAAGTGTTGTGCGTTATTATTTACAAATTACAGGTGCTGTATTTCCCGCTATGCAATTGTTTTCTGCTATTTATCTGGACTAACTCCAAGTCGTTTTATTTTGTGAGACCAATGGGTAAATGTGACATAGCCAAAATTTGAATATTCTGGGCAAAAGGACCACAGAGGTACTCGAAAAATGCGTGGGAAGGACAAATAGCCCTGAAAGTGTTTTTGGATGCTGTTTTTCCCGCTGACATATAAAAAACGTCTTTGGTAATTATGCAACAACCAAACATTTCTCACTTGACCTCATCGTGCTTATGGAATTGCCCATGTATGGTTTTCTTCTGTTAGCCCCGCCATCCATTGAATGTGTATTCACGCGAGATTAATAGTCGATTCCCCGTTCCGCACAATTTGTGTTGCTTGCTTTGATTCAAACGGATCAACGAAAACAGTTATTTCCTCTTTGTATTGTTTTACGCATCAAACCCTAAATGACCAGAGGCGTCGTTTCGGTCTGAAAGCATAAAGCTTACTTTGACTAAACTTGACATTCTAACCACCGTTCCTAATGGATTACGTTTCATTTCTTTGGTAACACATCCGTTTTGTTGTGGCTACTGTCTAATTGAATTGATGTGACTACAACAAAATAACCACAGCATTTTCCCGCATCTTCTTGTTCTTTATGATTAAAATCCGGTAGCTAGGTCCCATGGTTGCAGTAACATCAGTAGGGTAGAATGGCGACATTATTCTGTATTGGTACAACATATTGCTATGCGTGTCCATTTTCACGGCTAACCTCTAGCATCTTTTAATCCATGCCTTTGTGTAATCCTGATGTGCGCGTGCGCACATTTCCTCAGTCTGGTTTACACACGTGCATGCATACGTTAAATGCCCCGCCACACGCCTGTTCCAGTTTTCCTGTGACCAAACGAAGATCAATTGGCTTGCCTGGTCTGTACCGCCGAGTAATGAAATCTGAATACGGACTTCCAAACCCCGGTCCCTGTCCGGTTGATCCCATTCAAATATTCGGTTACGTTCACTGTGGCTGACACTGATGATGTTTCATAGGAGATACCTTGGTACAAATCCGAGGGGTTAAGGTTCTTTTTTTCTTCTGGGAACTTGTAACGACTTTTTCTGGTTTTCATAGGCTGACATCAGGCCGCTCAGTGCCTTCTGCCTCGAATAATGAGAGCCATCAATACCGGAACGCTTCCATTCACGGTATCTGCTCGTACTACATACAGCTTCAAATTCGAAATCAGACGGAACGGTCTTCAGTCATCAGTTCGACCGCGTAAACCGGTATTAGATTTCATTCCCATTTATTCCGTCTCGGATATCCATGTACAAAAATTCCTCGATACCTCCTTATCTTGACCGAATTCTCTGTAGTCAAGTGATAGATCGTTCGGATTTCATGCCACCTCTTTTTATCCTTCCCCTTTTCTGACCAGCAATGAAACGTTATAGTTTCTTTTTGGTTGAAAGGTTGTGTATAAGTTGTCAACACCTTTAGCCGATAAAATACAGTGCCTGTGTATCACGTCCCAGTTTGGTCACTTTTAACCACTACCGTTTTAGGATCGATTCATGCATGCAGTAATTGCCAATATTAGAGCAGTTCGTTCTGTGTTCGACTCAGGGAACAGCTTAATTGAGGATTGCTTGCTCTTTTGCTCGGTCGGTGCGTTGCGGCGCGGTATATTCGGGCAACATTGCCAAATCGAGAATATCATTATGCTTGTACTGTTTGTATGTGGTATGCGGATTTGCTAATAGCAAACATACTACCCGTGCGAATCTGTTTTATCCACGCCGTGCGAAGGTTTTTGATCCCTCGTGTATTCATGATACACAGTAGAACAGAAGCTCAAGTGGTCATGTGGTCCTAGCAACGTCTATCACCTTCGATCTGGTCAGCTTATCCGACAGAAATGCATTGGGTTTGGTTTACTCATTTGCTCATTGTATTCTTGTTCTTTCCTTCGAATCAGTTCGTATCAGATGTGACCTTAACCCCTGCCTGATTATATCCCGTATCCAATACACTGAAACAAGCAATCAGTATGACCTCATTTGGGCAAACACGGTCAAGACGCGTCATACTCCACTCGATTTGTTTTGGTGCTGGTATCGAGTTTCAAGCCTGCTCGAGCCTGCTTGAATGTTGTCATTTGTTTTGTTAGTCGATCGNGATCGGATGATGACGATTAATATACAGTCCTCGTGTAGAATTACAGACAAGGATGCTACATGCGTCTGTCATACAACATCCATGTTTGGTTCACACACACGCTTCTCTACCATCACATTTCTCTCATGTGTTTGGTTATCGGCAGGCTGCATTCGTTTTTGCATTGCATTTCCGGAATTCTTTTTTACCGGATACCGATCTCCAGTCCATTATTTTAGTTCATGGTATCCAGGGTCTGGCTGTCTCACTGTTTTTGTCATAGTTGTGGACATGGGCACGTTTGCACTGGAGGTCGACGCCTATCCGCTTCTGTGAATGAATGCTGGCGATCACCCACCCTACCCCCAGTTGTGTAAAATATTCTGCTTGCCTCATTTGTACAAAGAGAGATTGAAATTCGCGACCCCAATAACCCTGTATATGTAGGAGATGTCAATTGCAATTACTTTGTTAAAGCGCAGCTTATCTCTCACCCGGCTCAGTGCATTGCTTTCCTCGATGGTGTATGCCAACCCAAGGCTGCACAACCAGCCTATTGTTTGACCGAGATGTATCTCTGTAAAGCGCAGTCATTAAACTGTGTCTCGAGAATAGACAAGTGAAGTTGTCCATTTTTACCGTGTTGGCACGGTTGTGTAACTACGTTAATGAAGTTCAACCCTTTTTATCTCCTCCCCGAATACCTCACCATGCAGTGGAATTGAAACCATACAACAGGACCACATAACTTCGCATCGAAGCTGCACTAATCTGAATATGTTCTTCTTCCTGTTTTGTTTTCGAATTTACGACAGAACGTTACAGATTCCGCTCGTATATCTCTCGTTTTCCATCGTACTAATCAACTGGCTGTTGCGAGCACATCGTTGAAAGATTGCTGTTTTTCATTGTTGTTGATTTGTCACAGGTTCAAAGAATTCGGTCGGAATATCGCTCACAAACGTATCCCGGAGTTGGTGAAGTAAGTTCATTGGATTTCAAACGCGATTATCTGAAGGTGTTGTACAACTGTTTTCTTTGGAAAGAAGCAAAGGGCGGTCAAGCTTAGATTTGGCACGAGGGTATGAAAACCCTAACCAGGGGACTGGGTCACATAGGTCCTTTTGGGCTCCCTGGGATAATCGTAACGGATGATTAGAGACACTGAATGATACGGCTGTATCGTAAGCAATGGCGTTCGTGCATTTTCTTATTTTCTCTGCAACCTTAATCCACTGAAATTCTGCATTTTCTATTCCACTCTACTTTTAACTTTTGTTCTCTTTCTCCTACTGTTCATCCAAATGAGCAGCCCAGAGATAACAACCAAAACCGGTGCACGAAAGTGCATGGTTAGTCGTTTTTCAAATGAAACAACGTTGTCTACCGGTACACTCATATTTATCCGTCCTATTCCATTTGAAGTTTCATTTTGCATTTCCACAATCCCAATTTCCCCATCCCACCCCCGGTGCACAGGCACTTTCAGTTCGCTTGGACCGATCAGTCGTTGGACATATTAAGCAATTTGGCCATGGTGTCCCTGGTCGCCCCAAGTTTGATTGTTGTGGATCCGGTCACTCGTGTAATCTATTTGAACCCGAACCAGACCACAGTGAACGGCCTGTTCAGTTTGGAATCTAAAGTGGTTTTCAGTTACTTGCTTGCTGTTGTCGATGGTCGTGTACCTGTAAGTCATGCCATTTTCTCCTTTTGTTTTAAAACGAAGTTTACAGAAATTTGAAACAACTTGAATCTATCCATGTTATTTTTTACTGTTATCCTATATTGTGAGGTAAGAAAATAATTTGGTATCATACGGTGAACTATGTACCTAGAATAGTTTGATTTATTTTCTAGCCACCGCACCTTTTCGATAATCAATCGTTTGTAAAAACTGTTTAGATTCATGCGCTGCTAGGCGCCGGATTAAGGACGTCATAGCAGTACCATAGATGTACAACCCAACCACCATTTAACCTCTGATTAACAGATTCATACTTCATGAAAATGGACCGCATAATTATGAATTGCTTAAATATAACGAAAGTAAAAATATCTACGGGACTAATTTGTTTATTCAGTTCAAAAGTTTGCGCCTCTGGAACGAAAAAAAACCTGTTTCTGTGCATGGCACCCTTGACGGAAGGTATGCCTGAGTGACACAGTTGAGGGTGCACTGTGATTTATTTGAAAGTTCTCCCTTCCGAATGACCACCGAAAACGATTCATGGTCAACATTATCGTCAATCTTCACTGTTGAAAATAGTGACCACCATCCAACTTGATTGGGTAGTGGGGTGATTAGGTAGATCAATAGTTCGATCGTTTCACATCTCGTTGGTGCAAACCACGTGTTTAATGTATCCACGAGACATTTCGCCCCGTTTGATAGGTTCACAATATTCGATCTCNCTCAGGGAATTAGGATTTGCGTCTTGGTCATAACATAGGTCATTGGAATTCATCTTCATAACCGCTCTCCTTGGCTTCATCAAACAGTTTGTAAGGCAACTCGGTCCTCTATGACTGTCATCAATCTGGACAAGGGCATGCATCCCTCTCGTCTTGATTCTAACCAATGCACACACTTATGGATGACCCAATTTATCAGTGACATTCATTCACTCATGGGACTGAAGTGTGATCATTCTGGTTTGTAATTGATCTTTATTCCAGAAAGTATATCTACTTAAATGTGGATCCATTGATCGGTTATTGATTCACCAGTACTCCGCCCGTTGATTGATTTGTTTTTCTCACATTGTATGACAACGTTATACTCAGCAGATAATAACTTTGTTATTGAAATACGGAATACTTGATGTTTCTCACCATCAGACGCGTGTCATGCATCATAATACAGCATGGCAGTTCATGCACATGCACAGTATTGGATATGTTGAGCGATATTGACCTTATTCTTTGGATGCAAGCTATATATATATATATATATATATGTGTGTGTGTTCGAGCAACGGTCTCCAGTGAACCGCAGCTTTTACAACATCTCTTCGCCCTAGGAGTCAGACTTTGACTAGCCGATGGTTATGATTTGCAGTGTGAAAAAGGTCACTTGCTGTAGCTTGGGCAACCTGGCTCAATGCTGATTTGATTTTCTTGACACAAAGGTGGTTGCACTCTGATCTACTGCACTCAAAGTCAATGTTTTATTATGGCAATTACTTACCTACTTCCTTTGTCTCATAGGGCAGTTCCGCAACCTATCCGTCTCTTGCTGGAAAACGATGAATGTATACTGTTCCCAGTATAAGGAAATCACAGGATGTTAGCCTTATCCTGTTATTTTTACCTGGTGTTCAGAAGTGAGAGAGCGAGAGGCATCGCTGCGTTTCATGAAAGACTTTGGTCAAAAGTTTATCACATTTCCTAATCCTGTTCATGGATGATCACACTTTTTCAAACCAGGTGTAGACAGCATACACTTTCCGTTCAAGTATTCTCGAAACAGTCGTTTTGTTCTAGTTTCGCCGACTGACGTATCCCATCCCGATTGACGCCAGCGTTCCACCTCACACCACCTCAAGACAATCATTTACTCGTAGTTCAGCTTGTACCGCCTTCCAGTCCCGAGTAAACCGTCACTCGAACGTTTCTTGTAGTGTTGCTTTTACCTGGCTGATGAAGTTTCGGAGTAGATTATACCGATAGCCAAAGTTAGCTCGTCAAAGAAACCGAGATTCGAGTCCTGCTTACTTATCTGCATCGGCACTGTGCACTGTGAACGCCTAATAAGGATTTTCGTTCGTTACAAATGGTGGCATGTTCTTTCCCCATGCCTGTTCTCATTTTCACCAATTCATCTGATAATCACGACCCCATTCCGTCTGTCTCTACTTGTTCCGTAATCCTCTTTTTTTCATATAATTCATGCACTATCGATTCGCTCGTTCGAGGGTCATGGTGGAAACACTATCCCAGTGAGGTTGCGTCGCATGGGCTATAATTTTGTTATTGGTTTAGTGGTAAGCCAATTTTTCTTCACTTGTCTATTGATTTTGTTTTATACGTGTTCATAAATGCCGGTACAGATACTGTGTTTGATTGAGTGCAATACCAATCGACGTCTCACTGGTTCTTCTATGCACGTGTTTACACCCCACCCCCTCAATTTGTTACTCAAACAGTTGGTTAGGTGCTCGCACCGTTGCCACATCATTAGCCTGAATCATATCTTCCCCAAAATTAGCCTTGTCATTTCTAGGACACATTTCTGCATTCCACGACCCTGGTGATCAGTGATGTATCTCTCGCGTCGAAGTGTTGTTTTTAATCATCCGTTCCCTGGTCAGTTTCTTGTCTCGATCGCCAATGTTTAAAATGTAACGCGAAAATGTGCATCGACTATTTACTTTTTAGCTTATCAGCCCGTCGTTAGTCTTTCAACTCTTCTCGTCAAACAGTATGAATGTTAAATATTTCAGCGGACTTCTTTTACAGAGGATTGTAGTTATGAGCTACTCTGATTGTGTGACTGTTGCATCTCCTTTCTAGAGGGAACGGAAAACTTCTAAGAGGTTTGTGGTGTCCATTTTTTTACTGCAAACCTCGCAACCGTAATGTTTGGCGAGCTCAAGTGAGTCTTGGAACTATGGAAGCTTGTCGCCATGAGGCTTGTTTACAGTTACATTTTCCCTTGACTTGCTGTTCAACTTCGAGTTTGGCATCGTACGAGACGCATTACAGAGTGATGCGGCTCTCGCAATCTTAACCCCGAAGCTCGGTAAGCTGTTGAACACTCAGGATCTGGCTGTTTCGCTACGCATGACTTATCAGCATTCCTCGATTTCTGTACAGTGAAGGAGTCAGCAACGCCGGGATAAGGGCCAATCGCTTTCAAACCCTGGTAGGCGTAGTTGACTACCGGAAATTTCGATTTATGGAACTTGTGTTATCCTTGCCCTTAAGTTTGTTTCCTACATATTGTGATTCTCATCGACCTACATATTGTTCGTAACTTTAATAGAGCGATTAGTATGGGGTCTTGGATATTCTGCGTTGATATCGAAGCAGTTCTGTCTGAACTTGTTTAGTTCTATGACACTCGTGGGTCATATTTCAAGATCCAATGAGGGACAGAGATGGCGGTTGTCGATGTTATTGGTGCCCAGGGCAACGCTATGATCCTTCCATGTGTTCGAACAGGACATTGTTCATTGATTTTAATTCCTTCGCTTGTTATCATCTTTTGTTTCTCGTCTTTCGGATTCTCTCAACTGTCATAACTAATTCCCGTTTTGTTAACCGTCGCTCGTTGATACTTGCGAGTCTCACTCCCCGAACCGGTTTACGAACTGCTACTTCTGATTAAGATTCGCACGTGACTGGTTCCAAAAACAGTTGATGTACGCTGATTACTTTTGATCACTCCTCTCCCCTCCGTCCCCCGCATATTTGGATCAGGAATTTGTGCGCACATCTCCAATTGTTGCACTACTCGTGTTCGGTATACCCACCATGTTCCTCGGTTGTGTGGGTTATCTGTGCTGTTGCCTAGACGAACGATACGATGACACTGATCTACATACTCGTGATTTGCCCACGATGGACGAAGCTCATGCGATTGCTGAAGAGTCCAATGTTCCGAATGAGTCCGATGAACCGGAGGACGATGAGAGCGCGCGTGACCGGATTCGACTACGTCATGCAACTCGCTCACCTAAACGTGCCGCGCGAGAAGTTACTGAATTGGGTGAGATTGCCCGGAATGCTTTTTGTTGTTATTGCTGTTCAATTTCAGATGATTCCTTTGTAGAATTCTTGTAAAAACAAACATTTTGTTGTATTAAACAACTTGGCGATCACTGAAAGAGGTCGGGGCCACAATCACAAAAGTGTTCATATGATATAAGAACCGTAAATTTGAAGTATGGAGCAATGTACACAAACTTCAGAATACCCGGTACCGTGATGCAAACAAACATTTGTTTTGTGAACCTGTTTGCGCTTATCCGTTTGTTATACCCGAATTGTAACACCTTTTGTGGAATGATATTTCTAATCTTATTCCATGTGCACCGAGCCGTTACCCAGAGGTTTCTGCGACGCGTAAATCCGAATTCAATTACAGATTACGAGCAGTCTGTAATCCATGTGTATCCTAGGGTGAAATAAGATACAAATCAAATAGCATACTTCTAATCTCGGGGCGGAGAGGGGCGGTTCCAGACATACAAGCTAGACGCATAAAGTCAAGCACAGACGTTCATAAAACAGTCACCAAAAGGAATGTAACGAGTACACACACGAATAGTGGAGTTCAAATGTAAGGACCCTCGATCACAGTAACCCGATAATGAAAGGTTAACGCAAGAGCGGTCAGTCTCTTGGTCCAGAGAAGACAACATGATGAAACGATAAGCGAAGTGGGCTAGCAGAGGGTCTGGTAATTATAGGTTTGATTTATACGGTGAAGGTACAACATGGTACCAAAACAGTCATCGGAAATTTCGGTGGTATGAAGATTGCGTAATGTGCATGGCTAGGGTAGTAAACCATTTTATGCCTATCTAGGTGTTATAAAGACCGAAACATTTGTATGACGTGGAAAAGACAAACAGAAACCATTTATCCAGACACTTTGAAAGTATTATATTTCAAATCCGATGCCAGACTGTGCACCAAGCAAATCATGGTACAATAATCTTTGTGGAAAAGAAACATGTTCCATGATGTGCATGTGGGCAGAGTACTGCCATGGTTGCCCAGGCCAAGCAGGTGAATTTTCTTGGGGATCCGCAACTGGAGCCTTTGGCTAGTCAAAGCCTGACCCGCAAGGTACCCGGTTGGTGTGTGAAGACCGCAATCCATTGGGTGTCGGTGTCCAGTTCATCTGATCATACGCCCTTTTGACACGGTCATACGTCCAACGTGCCCAATACACCTTGATNCCTTGATGCTCAATCGAGCCGGTGACCACTGCCACATCTACGAAGATGTGGATGAGTGGTTCGTACGCCTCTTCTTGGTTGGTTTGGAATCAGCGTTTTTAACCGACTCTCTTAGGTGAACTGCTAAAGGTACACCAACCCGGTTATGACCCCGGATATCGGCTTTTCGTCCTCTCACTTTGTTGTTGCCACGGGAAGGCAGTAAGTAGAGCTTCCTCAGTGGAGGCCGGTTTTTGACGCTCTTTTGTGTATTGGCGTTCCGCGGGGTGTGAGTAATAGGGGACCATTCACAACCTGAGACCCCACCATACGGAGGCTTTCGGGTATGCATGTCCATACATAACTGGCATTAACAACACGCGAACTATTTTCTCTCAGCACTCTTTTTTTCGTCGTCTGAGCTCTTGCTTCGACCGAAAATGGTCGTAAAAAAGAAAACAATTTTAACATAGATCAACAGTTGCTTCAAACGGCTTATGACACGTTTGTCACAGTCGCCTTGTTCTAGCCTTAGCATATACTATGCTTGAATTGATCATATTCACCGCAATCTCATCATTCATGTAGACATCACTTCAAGCATTATTTTTGATTACATTACGTTCCGTAACTTGTGACGAAGCGGTCACATAGCTTAATCATTGTACGCAGTATAATACACGTTCATCAGGTACCATCGGGTGGCATCAATGACGCACCGTTTAGCAGCTACTGGTTGTTTTTCATTCTCCTTGAGAGTACGTGGTTAGTCATTGGCCATGTATGCTGACTCTGATGTCCCGCGATTATGATTGTTGTTGTTGTTGGACGTGATGTGCGTTCAAATGCTGCACGCGTTTCATACATGGTGTTGTGCCTACGCGAGTGTGCTCTATTGTAGGGGAAAACATACCTGAATTCTTCGCAAACTCTGGTCAAACCATGTACTGATCTGGATTAGTTCTTCATCCCGGATTGGCTTGCGTATACAAGTCGCATCTAGTTTTTTCTTGTATGTGGTATGTATAACTTTGTTGAGTTTTTCTTCTGTTTTCTGTTTATCACCGGTGAAATGCAGATTTTTTCAATGCACTTAGTTCTATATAGTCTCATCTTGTCTGAGAATCATGTTGCTATCTCCCTGGTGCGAAGTTCGTTTAGTTTTCAGATGTGGTCGGTTCAGTTTATCCATAAAATAGATCCATTTCTACATGCTACTTGTACCTACTTCTTTCATTTCTTCGGCTCTCTCGCGTGACTGGATGAGCCGGCTCCGTCAACGTTTGAAACCGTATCTGGATAGGTGCAGCGATCCGAAGCTATTTCCCGGGAATGATGCTTGTTCTGCTAATGGATTACCAGCTTATTTTTCGAAATCGATGATTCCTAATCGGGTTTTAAGCTGTGCACCTCTGTGGCATCCTCAGTAACCAAACCAGGAGTCAGGTTAAGCGGTAGGTCAACCAGCTCGCTGCCTACTCGTTGCACTACATGACCACACTGATGGAGCGAATGGAAACCAGTGGATGTCTAGCGCTCTAGGTATTGCGGATGTCGGGGTGGCGCTGATTATCATAGTTGAGCGCCCTCTTCTCAACTGGGCTCCACTCAGTAGGTATTTGTGCACAACACGTCTTAAGGACTCAATGTGGGCCAATAAAAACGGAGCGCAACGTTCCTTTTTCATTATTTTCATATACGCGTCGACTGATCTAAGTTAGCCTGAGATGAAGGATGACTTCTTTCCTATCGATTGAACAACTCGGTTATCGCTGGCGAGTTTATGGCTCCAGTAGCATCGTTAGATAAATCAGTACGTTGCCTTGGCAGCCAATATGCATTCTCATCTGATCGAACGAACAATGGAGATTGCCTACTCAAACTCTACACGGACCACTATTTGTTCCTATTGAACACTATCTCACATAAGCTCTGATACTACCTGACATAAAACTCTCCCCCTTTTCTCAGCGATATACTCAAATCGATCGAATTGCTACTCCCTGGGGATGGTCTGTTTAAGATTTTCGCTCTTATTGGTTTGCGTGTGTCTGCGTCTGTTAAACGACCACACCAAATCGTCCGGAAACGGATGGACGCAGTACAATGTGAATAGCAGCTACTACAGTTTTGCCTTTGAAGTGGAGCTCTCTCTCAATCTAACCACTCCCCGAAGGACTGTAAGTGTATCAGATAATCAGTGAAAACTTCCGTCAACACAATGTTGTACTTCGGCACACAACCAAAACAAACAATGGATTATTCCGTTGTCCCCGGTTGTTCTGGTAATACAATGCTAAAAGTAGACAAATGTTGCTACTCAAACCGCTACGTCTCACCTGGCGGAAGCACCACGAGTGAATTGTCGGCGAGCATACGAGGCATGGTTGGGTATACAGTTGCTGTTCAGTGGGTTCTCCTGTTTAGTACAGAGACTTGGTCTTTTCGGGGACGGAGCACAGACAATATCGATGTTCAAACACGACTGTCTACACTGCAGTACTCCAGCGTGATCGGGGAAACGGACAAGTAGTACCCAGGTCAGGTGACTGGTTTTAAGTGTTTGAGGTCGTGCAAGTGCTTGACATCCCGCGGAATAAGATGTCTGGAACACATCACCAGATGGGTTTGCCGTCCTGCGATGTTTGCTGAGACAGGTACTCAGTTTAAGAAAATCGAGTGTTCACACTCAAACCGGATATTAGGTTAGGAAAACACTCACCAGAGAACCTGGATGTGTTTTGTCTTCCAGGCCGGTGTTCAGTTCAGTTCAATTCTTACAAGCATTAACCGTGCACTTTCGTGTTCCGATTTTGGTTGCTGTGTTTTGGTCGCCCATTTGGATAAAAGAGAAGCATGAAGATTGGAATGTTGAGAGCCAATTCAAGCAAACAATGGAGAATTCATATATACCGCCGTATCGCTCAGTGTTTTTAACCATCAGTGACCATGATCTCAGGGTGGCCTTGGGATCGACTGCATCCATGGCTAGAGACAATAAATGATGCAATTGAGTACTTTTCTCAATTTCCTCGCAAATTTAGCTGAACTACATTTACCCTGGCACTGCTTCCAGTTCTCTACTTCTTGCTACACATTACGTTGAAATGGGTAGTCGAAAAGGAGCAACCAAAACCAATTCATGAAAGCGCAAAGTTAACGGCTGTATAAATCGAACTAAACTGATTTAGACTTATACTCCTTTCGTTGGTTGCTTTTAAAGATGAGAACAATATTTCACTCACTTTTACGAGCGGGGGACCTGAGCAGCGTTTTTAACATTGGATAACATAACTTTGAACTCTCTCTGACTAGATTTATTCTACTATATTTTACTGCAGTTGAGGGAGTGCCATTTACACTTTTTGATAGCGCACGCCGTGTATTTCCTTGTGGATCGCCATATCAGATCATCTGTCGAAGCGGATCGCAGGACATGAGTCCGAATAGCTTGCAGCGAACCGGTCACTGCGGGCGATCTGAACCATGCTATAAATTGCCCTCGACAACATCCAAGACTCTGCTGTTGTCTGGGCATAGGCGAGCGGTCAAATTAACATGCTTTTTCGCTCACACCTGTTTTTCAATCGGTGTGACCTGGATGAGATGCAACAGCTTGCCGGAATTTCCCATAGTGGCAGCACGTTGCCTCTTCGAGGCAGTTTAATACCACATGCCTTCATTATGCCTACGTTTGCTACATTAAGCTCGAGGTGACTTTCCCGTTGGGCTTGACCGATGTGCGTCAATTTGCAAACACTCAATGGAAATCCATTGTCACAACGCAACGAATCCGGCCACAACTCAGCAACCCAACACAATATATAGGGAGCATTCTTGATAAGCCTCTAATGGTAGTTTCTGTTACCAGATGGAGAATTTGTCTTAGGTATTCGGCCACTGTTTTTCGATAGTTCGTTGGAAAGTTCGTTTGGAAAGCCTGTCGTGATCTGACTGTCGCTGCGTTGTGCATTTGGACCACGTAGTGCTCCGGTAAGATCGGTAACCTCACAATACGGGCCTGTAGCGATGTGAGCCATCTGGGTTCATAATTGAAACAGACTCGAGGTGGTGTGCCGGAAATTAAGGCGTCTGCGTTTCTTGCTTGCAGCAACCAAACGAAAGTTGGAGTACAGAGCCAATAACCTTCCTCCTTTTTCCGGACCAAAGTAGTAGTCTCCCAAATGCGCCTCGTTTTAATGCCACCGACCTACTCTTGTCGAAATCAAAATCTTCGCCTAGCTCGTTCTGCGAAGGATTGAGTTGAACTTCATCGAGGGCACACTGATCATAGGCGTTCGAGCACCGGTTGCAGAATTTTCACTCGCAACTGTTTCTTCTCAATGACTGTACTCAAAATAAGGGTAGCTACTTTTCATGCGGAGTTTACTGATCCCATCAGTCCCCTTGCTATGAATCACAATCTTGATCCAAGCAACTCGTGTCAGCAAACAATGTCTAAAGTGGTTGTTTTCGCTCTTGTGAACTTCCTCAGCTCTATAAGAATCCCATTCCGAAACTAACTGTTTTTATGGTTGTCACGTGAACCAAATCCATTTTAAATCATTCACGGACTAGCGGCATCAAGAGAAAAGCGAGAGAGACAATCAGGTGCTAACTTCGTCTGAGCGCCCGGTGGAGCCACATCAGTCAGATGGTTTGGCTATGTGCTCCGAAGGCCCGACTCTCGCGACAGGCTGTAGCCCCGCACCATAACGTGGATGGCTTTGCTGACTCGGTGGTCAAATGAAGACCTGGAGCAGTACGATCAAGGCGGATTTGGACTTACTGGGCCTCCAATCCCTATATGGAATTTATAACTGGAACCAGAACTGGGTTTCACACTGCATCACCCTTGCTACCGATCTTCATGCATGAGCCACCATCATTAGAGACATCCAAGAAGCCAACTTATCCTCTCGCAGGAGTTAGTCGATCAAAAGAAAGTAAGTCAGATGCGCAGTCACAATCAATCGAAATCCGAGAACACCACTCAAGAGTGCAACATGAACAGACAGAGTCAACACCTTCAGTCCATAGGTCTAGCCGTCAGGCGAGCCAGATTTACGAGGCACTCTTTAGGGAAGAGAGCTGTGGTGATCCAAACGTACGTGACCGCATTCCAAGTACGACCAGGTACAGCTTCATGTCGTCCAATCACAGTTCAGGAAGCTCGGCCGATGGTACACCGGGCGAACATTACACCAGAGTTAGTACATGCGATGCGTCTGCTCAAACGGTTACGTGATTGGGCGATGATCCTTCAACCAAAGATGTGGCCTTTTACTTTCTATAAAACATGCTCTATTTTCATGAATAAACATTGGTACTTACTGCTACTAATGGTCCTTGTATTTCATTGGTGTCCGCAGTTCAGGTTGGAGTCAACCCAGTTCTGAGTATAACGATACGGGTTATCGTATTCTAATACTCAATACTACTTCGATTACAACAGATGACCTGCCATAATCCGAGACACCCACTCCAGACCATACAGAGGTTTTTGGAGGCATTGGCTATCTAGTGATCAAGTGGATAGTATGTTTACGTTTTACCTTTGTGGCCCCAAGTTCAGTTCCCCCTTTTGATCGTGCTGTCTCACAACTGATAATGACCCAACCGGGTTGAAACAACTGTCCAGTGTTTCCTACTTTTCAGTTGACACCTCATCTACACTGTTCACGACGGAATCTGCTTTGTAATCAAATGATATCCTGCATGACGCTCATGTATAGGCAAAACTATTTAAAGAACTATTTTGATTGTATTTCTATCCCAGTCACGTACACTGCCACCCACTTTTGATTTGTTATCTTGCATATTTCCTAATAATTCTGTGAATTTATTAATGCTTCCCACTTTCCCGACTACAGGTCCAGTGATTTCAAAAGAAGAAGTCGAAGCCCGACGAGCAGCCTATCAGGAATGGAAAAAATCCAAATGATCTCCACACCACATCGGACAGCATCCTTTCCGCTAGCAATGTTCTGTTTCACTTTACCTACTCGCACTGTTCTGATGAGTGTTTGCATTTCATCTGCTGCTCGATCCACTCCGGTTTAACTCATCATGTGGTCTACCTTTTGCGTTGTTTCATCTTTATTTGTTCATACATTCCGCGTTATCTTCCCCCTCTGTGTTTTTTCACGCACGTTAACTCCCGCTTTTCCATGGCTAACTAGTGCACGTATCTTGTTTGGCCTGTCCGGCACGGTACGAGCCATTTGTAAGCTTCCGATTTCAATGTACATACTAAACACGATTGCCATTCTTTTTGATACATATATCAGGTGTTTTGAGTAAGACAGCTTTTCATGTGTGATAAACAGTCTGATCAGCCGCCCGGTAACCGAGTGGGTAGCATGCTTGCGTTCTGCCCATGAGGTCCCGGGTTCGATCCCTAGTTGGGTCGATGGATTCGCACTGCTGATGAGACCGAACCAGGTCAAAACAGCTGNGACGAATTTCCCCTTTGAAATAGGACAGTGTTATTCGGCCTATCGGATCAATCGCAGTGTCTGAAGAGACTCGTGGGTTCAGCCCAAGAAAAAACTGCTGCCCTACAGGTCGAAATTTTGAATCAAAGGTTCAGACCGATGATCCCAAGGAAAATCCCCTGTTGGTGTAGGTTTCCGCGAAGTGTTACTTGAAAAGTCTACGTGGTGGTCCCTACTACTGTCAGTGTTCTATATTGTGCTTCTCCACGTCTTCTGCTCGTTCCNCAAGGGAAGAGGAAGATAAGAAAACTATCTTCTCCCCTTGTTCAGGCGAGAGACCTCATATTTGGAAGCGTTCTATTGTTGGGGTATAGTAAACGAAAAAACCGAAAGTTGATTTGGGGCCTAATCCTACGCATCTGGTTTGGGAAATAAGTCCAACCAGCGCCTATCGAGCTCCGTGAAAGCATTTACGCTCCGTATCCCCAACAGCTCCTGTGCTAACTTATTCCATAAATTGACTACCCTGTTGCTGAAGAATTTTGAGTGCACCGCTAATCTCGTGCTCAATTTCTTCAGTTTATGCATGTGCAGCCTCTCGAAGAACACTGTCTGAACAGTCCCTGATAAGCCATTCATAATTTTGAATGTCTATCAGATCACCTCGGATCCTTCTTTCTTAGGAGAAGAGTATGAAATCCTGTAGTCTTTGCCTCAATGGCTTCCCTCGCTGCCCTCCGATCATCCTTGTGGCTAATCGTTGGACCTCCTCGAGACAAGCGGCATCCCTTTTGAAGAAGAGAGCCCCGGCTTGTATACAATAATCTAGACGCGGTCGAACAATCGCCTTATATAGAGGTACGAATACCTCCGGTTTCCTACGTGTGTCGACCTCAGTCTAAAAGCTCTCTACGAGCACGGTGCGCCGCTGCAGCGCACTGTTCTGCCCATTTTGTAGTCCACTGTAACTACTATTCTTAAATCTCTAGCCTTCTGTGTCTTTCCTAGTGAAAGACCTCTACGACTACTCCCAACTGTCAGCCCCTCGTATCGAGTGGTCAAGACATGGCTCTTTCCTATATTCAATTGAAAATCCCATATGCTTGATCACTTCACCTGTGTCCCTTGTTCCGCCCTAGTTCTGCTCTCCCATCTGATCCAACAACCTTGCTGTCGTGCGCAAATACAAAACTAGGCGAGCCAAGGTGCTCAGAAAGATCATTCGCGTAGAGCAAAAATAATAGTAGGCCTAGGACTGACCTTTGTGGCACCACACTAGCAATAGTTTCCACTGGTGAGCTCGCTTCTTCGACCCGAACCTGAAAGCTCCTGTCAGAGAGGAAAGCTGTTAGCCACTGGTGAATGTTACCCCTTATCCCTAAGCCAACTATGTTGGCCAAAAGTAAGCGATGATACACTGAGTCCATTGCTTTGCTAAAGTCTAGACTGCATAATTCCACTTACTTATCCTCGTCTAGTCTCGCTGTGACTTCACAACATTGCTGAGATACGATTTTGTCCAGCTCCTCATCTCTCCCGATTTTTTCAAGCTGCCACGGGGTAGCATTCAGTGTTTGACTAGTCAAAGGCTTTAGGAATGATGCAACTGAAATCATCTTTTCAGTTGGTCGCACACCATCGGACCGGTCAACAAGTTCCCTTACACAAGACACTTGAAACTTTCGATTTAAACCTCTGAAATACGCATACAGGACTTCGGATTCAACTTCATGCCACTTCGTGTATGAGATTATTGGGTATCTGAAACTCGCGGTGGTGTCTAGCCTCAGGTCTGTGAAGTAGCCACATCGACAAATCCAAAGGCAGTGTCGTGATTAGCTAACAACTTCACCTACAACAGTATGGCAAAAAACGAATTGGTCGCTCGGGTAGGTCAGGTAAGGTCCGAAAACGGACTTTTACCTGAAGTGAGTCCAGATTCATACACCAGTAAGATTTGGGGTCTCTGGTACTACGACGTGAAAATCACTACCGCGGATTGTGATGGATAGTTCACGTTCTTTAGTTTTGGATAGCTACCCAAGCGAGCATCAATGACAGGGTCTCACTTCAGGAAGTAGTGCCGCGTGTTGCCTCAAAGTGGTTTACAGAGGGAGGGGACGGTATGAATAAGAAATGGCAGAACCATTGTGGAGTCTCGCTTTCACACTCAAATTAGAGACTGGCGACTGTAACACAGCAGAGAGAGCATCGGGACGCAGTGAAATGATTTTAGCATGCATCTGTGAGTTGCAATGATGAGTAATTTACTGGAATATATTCGGGTGCGTTCTGTGTGGTGTACTACGCACGAAGACTTGCTGTATCAGGATGAAATTTGCAGTGGGTACAGACCGACCGTATCACGGTGTGGTACATGAATGTCTTTATTATCAGAGAACAGTCGTGAGTGTGCTTACGATGATCAAACACAGTGGATATCGCTGTAGGAGGGAGTTATCTACTACTACGAGTGAACAAGCTTCAGGCAAGATAAAACTAACATAAAACTGGGTAGCGGAGTACTACTGCAAGTTACATCCGGTCTGAACGAGTGGAAAGTACAGCTGGAATCGGCTACTCGAATATCCCAGCCGTAGAATCATTTATTTGACTGATAAGAAAGAAAGTAGATGTGGTTTACATACCTGGAGCCCTCAGTCGACGTCAGATACAGGTATTAACATCCTTATAGTTTTGAAGTCACTTTCGGGTTCGAGGCTGGCGCTCAGTGGTCCCGGTTTCGTGTTTTCTGTTAGTGTAGGATGCGACTGGGGACTAGCGATCCTAGTTATTCTAGCAATATTATTAGTAAACGAAACAATGTGTTATGGCAAACGAGCAAAGCAGAATTATATAAAGGGGACTGTAGTATTTTTTTGTTCTTTTCTTGGAGGGGGGCTCAAAAGGACGTAATCAAACCTAGACATTTATTAAGTCGAGATTTGAATGACGCTTTGCTTGTTGAAGAGAGTATCTTTTCTGGCAATGCGTTCTAGTGTGAAATTACCGTAAAAGTGAAGAAAGATGTGCCAAGGGTGGTACGGGGTTGAGGTTTATATAACTTTTTGCCATCACTCCGTGTTCCACCCGGGGGGGGGGGCTAGAGGGAAGAACTTATCNGGGGGGGGGGGCTAGAGTGAAGAACTTATCTACTAGGCCCGAAGAGAACAGGTGGCGTGGCAGAAATAAGTCACCCCGAATTCGCCTAACTTTCAGAGGATACATACCCAGCTCCACTACACGTTCAGGATAGGTAAGGTGTTGCATTCTAACCACCGTTCTTGTCGCCGCTCTTTGCACTCTTTCAAGGGTAGCACGATCACGGATCAGGCCGGAATGGACAACTTGTTTAGTGACTTGAGACCGACAGCGTAACATGCTCGAGAGCTGTCACTATCTTTGGTCTACCTGTTCCGGTGCGGGAGTTCAGTGCTACACCTTCGCTTGCTAAGCATTTTCGCTTTCAGATATTCTCGAGCGTAGTCAGGCTACACCCTGGTACTTTCAGGGAACAATACACTTTCCCTTGACTACCCGGTTGTTCTTCCTGATTCATACCGGGTTGTCTAGGAACACGTGAGGTTGGAGATCGGATCGCTGTCGCAGGTCATGACATTCCGTCCTGTGTCTCTAAACTGGTGAGTCCTTTCCATTTTTCGGGTTATTGATGCATTTTTTCGTATATTTACTTTCAATAACCATCGTTATTTTTCTCGAATAATATATTTTTTGCACTAGGCTGGATGTAATAATTTACTTTTAGAAAATATTATTCAGTTTTGCTCGATTTGGGTATTTTTACGAAATGGCTGTAACGGTTCTACTTTTTAACCGTATTTAGTCTGTTATATCTCAAATCACGACCGAATCAAAGAAAATCACCCCTGTTAAGCAGCACCCGGTAGTCCTGAACGCGGTGAATTTCACTTGTTCGCCTTTTTATTATAAAAATCACTTCGAGTGATTTTCGGTGGCCGAATCCCATTTCTCGGCCCGAGGCATCTCTCAGTTCGATTTAAAATTTCATCGCGTGTTGCAAGCTTTACTTTTGGATGTTACTGAACTCATGTTTGACTTCATAAATCCCGTCCCAGAGAAGCGTCCTTACGAGACTCTCCGGGACGCCGTCCTAACTGGCACGGACTTATCCATCCAAGAAAAAATCAGGAACGTAGTCCAGGGAGTGACTCTAGGCTCCCTTAACCCTTCCCAACTCTTGCGCAACATGCAGTAAGAGCTTGCCCACTTTAATTACGGTTGACGGTAACTTAGATCGTGAACTTTGGGTTCAAAAGTTGTCGAAGGCTGTCCGCATGGTCCTGGCACCAAGCGTTGGTTGCCCCCTCAGCGTTGCGGCCGACGTAGCCGACAACACCATGGCTTTCTATTTACAGGGCACCTTTAATTGTTCTGCCATAACCAACTCAGCCGATCAATCCAGCGCCATTACCACTCAACTGGCCGCTATTTCGCCTCGCCTAGATAGAGTTGAACAGGCCACTTC